TATATATAGTCAAGCAGTGATTGTTTGTAATACATTTACATGATAAAAGTATAGGTATCACGAGAACCACGAGAGACGGGTGTTGGTTATACTGGTAAAAACAACAAAGTAAGTATACATTGTTAACGAAAATATCAAAAATTACCGTGATGATGCCAAAATGTTCATAGAAAGTGAAATAGATTGTACATGCATGGAAATAAATGAATAGACTAATCGAGTAAAGATGATGATTCGTGTTGAAATAAATTGGTTTGGAGATCGGCATGACTTTGTAATGTATTGTGCGTGATTACCCCTATACAAACCCTCGTTTAAAGGTATAATAATAATAATAATACGTATGGAGCTTTGTACGCATCCTTTTTCTCCTCCCTCGCCAAACAAAGGAAGAAAATTTGCGTACTACACATGGAATATAAAATATAATATTTTAATGAAACGCGCAACTCGCACCATAAGTATTATTGTCATACTTTTGTATGGATGGACAAATAGACTAGCACGCTACAACTTTCGCAAGCGCCCTGGACCCCCTAATTGTAAGTGGTAAAAAAATTACTGGAAATTCGACATTGTGAAATGTGTGTAACGTGTAGGTAGCACTTATTTGGGAAATCGATTGGCTGCGATGCGAGGAAGTATGGGTACGAGGGGGTACCTATAGGTATATACATATATGTACTTACGCACTGAGGCAACTGAGCTGACCCACTACGTATCTCATACATTCTTACAAACAACACCACACGTGTGATAAGTTAACGCGTGTACCTATATGTGTGTCCAAGAGCGCAAAGTGCAAATGTATACCTACTTACATGTGTACAGCCGACGACTACAGATATAAATATATCTCACGCTACCCGTTCACTTTTCAGGCGCGCGCTTGTCCGAATTATCTCAAAGAGCCTACGAGTTGTTTTCGCAATATACCGAGCGCTTTTATTTTCCGTACCTAAGTATATATGTACTTATGCTCGCGTAGGTTTTTCAAGTTTTTTTGTACTTTTTAGTTTATTCTCGAAAAAAAAGGAGCCTAGGAAGCCTGCAGTAGTTGAGGGTTGTGCTGCTAAAAAATTGGGCGTCAGCGTACAGACGAACGGGGTTTCTTTTGGCTATTTACATACGTCGAAGCAAGCGAGTCGGAACGATCGGCCACCGAGTTGCAAACGAACTGTACGGAGTATACGGACGGCACTTAAAGAATGTTTTTAAAGGAGTGCTGGTGTATAGTATGGGTGGGAGAGGAGGGACTCACCATCTGCATGGTAGTCAAGTGCTTCTTCCACCAAAGGTACTTTTGGTACTCGGGTCCGGCAGCGGCGAGCATGTAGTACGTGTACATAACCACATGTACCACGTTGTTGATGAGGTTGCCGAGGGTGCCGTGGCCCCCGGCTATGAACTTTACGCATATCCAGGTCTCGAGGGGCGTCAACGAGTGATGATACAGATGCAGGAATGTCACTTGGCTGTCCTTTTTTCGCATTACGAAAAATATCTGCACAAAATATACGGTGTATACATCGTATTATGCACTGTGGGTGTAAATAGCATTTCAAGGCTCCAATTTTACAGTTATTACGTATAGCTTCTTACACCGATCGAGAAGATTTCCATGGGCGGAAAGTATGAGTATAACATGAGCGATGTTTTTTCTGATGACTAGCCACACTTTCCGTCCATGGTAAAACAAATATTTTTTAACCTGCACTTGGTTTTAAGTAAAAAAAAAAAAAAAAAAATCGCTAAACCATCGATTTGTGAAGGACAATTATTCTCAAGGGTTTTTCGCAGGATCACCATCTTAAAATCATAACTTTGAATTAAAAAAAAAAAATGTTTGAAATCGTTTTGAAGCTCTCAAACAAGTATTGAGACGGACGGACGGCACAGCGAGAATTCCACTCATCCGATTGCGCTGACGAAAGTAAGTAAATGCCGTCTTAAGTATTACTTACTCTGCGGTAACGTAAATATCTTTCTGCGCGCGCGCGCGTACAATATAAATATGGGTATATTAAACTCGTGTACGCAACTTGTATGTTTAAAATTGAGAAAAAAACGGACGCGCAATGCGTATGCACAATAGAAAGATTAAGGTTACCCAAGCATGTAGGCTCACATCGGTACCTTCTATTCGTCACAGTCGATGTCGTCGTCTACTATAATTGTTGCAATAATTTCATTTGCAGTAACGACCGATTTGCAATATTCCAATTATAAATGCTGATTATGGCGAGAATTATCCCCAAGCGAAAACGTCGCCATACACGTAATCAAATATCCTTACCGTATCAGCAAACTCGGTAAACTTGCTAATGAAATACCACCAGCAAAGATTGGCCATCCGCAGGGCCGATGGGTTGTGCGAGTAGTCAACCGGCTGGCACTTGTAACTGTAGTCCAGCAACCATCCGGACATTAAGTGCTATAAAAACGAAATTAAAAGTTATTTAAAAAATTACCAACGAAATGTTGATTTTTCGTTACAGAGAAAAAAAATTTGTGCTTTTCAAAACGATTATCATCTTCAAAAACAATTGTCTTTCTTTCACAAATCTCCTTTCGTGTTTATGCGCATCGGGCCATAGTTCGTTTTTAATGAAGTTTCAGGAGGAGAAAAACAAAAATGCTCTTTAGGTATATGACGCAATGATAACATGCGCGATCACTAGCTCGTCACTAGTCATGTCACTCATTTATTATGAATGCATGAATAAACTTTTCTCAAGATAATACGTATAACATGATGATTTGAAGGTAGTGGCAACAAAATAATCCATACTAAGTAATTAAGTTATACTGACTCTTCAACATTGATAAACAATTTCTTAACAAAAACAAATCATATCATCAATGTTATTAGGTATAAGTTATTGTTTTTTACTCGTAAAATAATTTTATAACGTCGAATTTCGCTGTTGAAAAATATGATACTCACTGTCAGTCTTGGAGAACAATCGTCATTTCTCTAACTTGTTCGCATTGGTATATTTACTGTTTAAGAGAAGCCTAAGATTATTCGTATAATACCTACGGAAAATATGTTGAAAAATGGTGTTTCACGCGATAAAAGTATATTATTGCTCAAGATTTTATATGGTCATGCAGATGTAGACTCGGCACTAGCAGTGCTTGTTCATAGAATACGAGAGTACCTTGTATACATACATGAGAAGGAAATATTACAGTAAATAGGTATAGGCGCAACGCAGTTGTAAGTATAATATATACGTATACAAATGATTGCCATCGGTTTACGCGGCGAGTACAGGTACACAAGTACGATCGACGGTTCGAGTGCGAGGGACCTTGGAAAGTTGGGAAATTCTTCGCGGATCGGAGATTATTACATACCTTGCGCTCGCGTGGTCTGTTGAGCGCTGCACGCAGATGCGAAAATAAATAGGGTCATAAGTAAGTATATCGAACCAACGAAAGAGAACGAAAGTATAAGACACCGGTGGGTATACTTACATCGCACGTATTATTTCTTCTTTGATCCTTTGCCCAATGACTTTGGAAAATGAGGGAGAAATCCATGAAACTTTTTTTATTACACGCTTGATGCAATTATCTACATCGTTTGACCACATTTTGGATTAATCTGTACGCTCAGGGCTGAACAATAAATTTTTGTTCGCGTGTGATCTTGAAAAAGCTATTTATCCTCGGAAATTGCCATTTATTTTGAAAATCATATCCCTCTTGACCCTAACGTTGAAAAGTCTCTTTCTCGTTATTTCGATAGAAAGATGGGCTGTGCATCGTGTACGCATGTATCAGGTTATCCAATAGCAACTTTGGATAACTTTGAATGCGCGATTACTGCAGCATTGCATATAATTTATTTTTAGAATAAAAGAGGAAAGGAGACGTAGAGAAAGAAAGACGGGAGTTGCGAAAAAGAGATGTCAACACGCGCACTATCCCACTGTTTACGAAAAAAATTACGCGAGTCCTGTGGATGTTGCAAGTAAGCGCGTACCCGCGTTGATCAATCAGAGTAATGTATAGGCAACGGGTGATACAACGGTTACCACGGAACAATGACCGTCAGAAAGCGCTCGGTCGGTCAGAAGCTCTTCGGACCGGCCAGATTGCGCTCGACTTTTTTTTTTTTTTTTTTTTTTTTCATCGATACCCTTGCACTAACTATAAACGCAATGTAACGTTGCTAATATGACGAAACCTTAAACACAATCTAGTCCAATACTAATTCTCTGACGATAATTTATATTGGCTGAAATAATAAAACTGCGGAATAACAGTATACGCAATAGACGTATGTACATGATTGCAGTTGATTGTTGCGACATTTATCGCATTATCATTCGCGTTATCTTTTTAATCGTATAACACTGATGATGAAAAGTCGGCCGGTCGGTCGGTGGGTTTGTTTCAAAATTCATCACGTTATTCAAGTTGGAACAAAGTTTTTTCGCTCAATAGACATCCATGTCCAGCTTGTGTAGTATCATTGGTGAATAATATACTAAAGCAATAATAATAATAATAATAATAATGATAATAATGATAAAGACATTATTACCTCGTAAAGCATTCCAAGGGAGAAAATAACTTGAAAGGCGTTGTACGCGATGAGGACGTTTCTGAGCTGAAAGGGTTTGCGGTTGGTCATGAGCCTGGGCCCCAGCAGAGTGACATTGTACAAGTAGAGAAGGACGATTATGAGGGTTGGCAGAGGCGAGTCCATGAGCGGCCATTCGCTGACCCTTGGGTCCGAGACTGCGGTCAGGATGACGGTGTATTGGTCGAGGGCCATGCGCACTAGGCCTTCGGCCCCCACGAAGCTGCGGTTCGCGTCAACGACCAAGTCACTCCGTGGTTCTGGCTCCCGCTCTGCCACCAGCTCCGCTGCCGCTGAGGCCATTGCTCGCAATTACTTCCCTCGTTACCCCCTGCTGGACTTTCGAAGCTTTTGGACCTAGAAGTAAAAGTTTTTTTTTTCAAACCATCATAAATTTCAAGGAGTGAATGAAAATCATTTTCATCCATCGAGAGCGTTTGATCCAACCCAACCAAATCGTACGGCTTTCTGGGCCTGAAAAATATTTCTCCTTTTTTTTGTTAAATTTTGGTAATCCAAACTTATCTCGCTTACTTTCTGTTTACTACGCAAGTGCTGTTCCAAAAATTATATCTTTATTTATTTATTCTTTTTTTTTTTGTATTTTCTTCTATCTTTGAGTAATCCTCGAAAACTATCATGTTTCATTAATTTGTACTAAATCATCAATTTCTCCGCCCTAGCAATGAAATGACGAACAGCATGATTTTTATTTTTCCATAAATTGACAATAAACGATTGTTGTAATTTTTTTCTTCTTATTTTCACCGAGCAGACATTCAAACCGTTTGATGTTGCAAACGAGTAGCCTTGGCGAAGGAAGAAGGAAAAGCTTGTTTTGATGAAATTAAAGTATGGGGTTCAGAAGGGAGGCCAACCAGTCACGTTGGGCATGAAAGGTCGCTGCTGGTCGGTGGGAGAGGGAGGCGCTATTATACGAATGGGGATCCGCCCTGGGCGACCTCGAAACGTCGAAAAACGAAGCAAAGCGGCCATCAAGTAAATTGGGACTTTCGAAAGGACGCTTTTGTTTTTTGTTTATTTCGTGTTTTTATTTATATCGCATCCATGTATCAAGTACATACACGCCTTTCGTTTCACCTCCTGTCCCTTTGATAACGATCCAAGTCCATACCTTATGTATATGCTTTGGACACTTTCAATTGCCATTGGCTTGGAAAAATTATTTGGGATGAAATAACGCTTTTCCCATACCACGCGATTAATCACGTTATTGTCGGATCTAGTCGCGTTGGTTCAAAGCGCTTTGACAAATTAAAAAATTATCCGGTTCTATTTACTGGTATACCCATTCAGATTCGAGTAAATATCATCCCCCTCCTACAAAGTTTGCTTTTTATTCATACTTGTGATAGACATCGCGTTTGAAATCTTTCACCGCAAAGAGTTGTTCGCAGATTGTCCTATGCCTATCTGACTCATACAGTAAAAAATCGTGATGAAAAAGAAAGTAATGTACTCATGGTGCAGAAGACTCAAGTAACTGCAAATATGATTAAGTACCTACAAATTAATCAATAACAGAGTTTACATGGAAAAATTTCTTACACACAAGAACTTATAATTAAAGTTGTTGCACTATTTTGTACCAACTGTACTGTAGTATATATACTAGTCAAATGTACGCACTCGGATTAAAAATATTGAAAGTGCATGATAAATAAAAATTGTGTACTCCACTTGACTCGACTCGACTCGTGACTTGTAAAATTAAAAAAAAAATACAGGGTCAAAATTAAAAATCAAGAGCCGTTTCGACTTGTATCGCGGAAATTATTTGCTCTCACTCGTTAGTTTTATAAAACTGTGACCCAATAATTATAGGTGATGAAAATTAAAAAAAAAAAAATTAATGTGATTCTTAAACATGAAAAGTACTTTCTCCATATTTTTCAAGTTTTTTTACTCGTCGATTTAAAGTAAAATAAATGGTGTGCAAATTAATTTGTCAAACTAACTAGAAATTATGAATGTTTGAAAGCCATTTTTTAATAAGCAAGGGATAAATTAATTAAAAATTTTAAATGTATATTTTTACACGTGTGTATAAGATTCTCTCAATGTTTGTATTAGATTGTCATGATTTTTATGGTAAGAATCGGACTATCAAAAGTAAATAATAATAGTAAAACATTTTTTAGAGAGGATTCGAGATTCTGAGAAAACTATTAAAAGCTCAATCAGAAAGTAAACAGTGGTAATCGTATTGAAAATATTATACTAGCGAAGAATTTATTTTCTAATTAATTATAACATATTCACATTAAAGTTTGAATTGCACACTTTCACAATATCACCTTTTTGTGTTTATTTTACAACAACTATAACATTATTCCTACAAACACAAATTCCGTATATTAATATTAATAATGAAAGACATGTGGAAATTTATCAGTCATTTCCATCAAATGAAAAAAAACCGTATACCAAATAAGTATAACGGCTTTAATCTGACTGATGAATCAATCAAGTGGGTACCGCTCTTGCTTCTAAAAAACTCGATATTTTAAAAAGTTGATTCATACTTTAGAAAAAATAATTTATGATTCGAATGATCTCGTAGTATGATCTTTATCATTAAATTAGATTCAACTAGTTACTTTTCAATCACTTTTTTTTCATTATTACTATGATAGTTGCGTATAAACTATCTTGATACTTTCAAATCTATCTTCGAGGGCAAATAAAAATTCTTTAAAATCAAAATGCATTTAAAATACAGATTTTGCGAATCATTTTTGTTGTTGTGAATCAAATAATAGAAACACTCGCGCTATATGTTCACCAAACATTCTGGTCATGATAAACACGTTTTGTGACATAAATATGATGTATTTATAATCAGAAGGACGGCTTATACTCTAGCCAGGTAGACTGCCTTTCTGTTTGAATTTTTAAAAATTAACAGGGTTTCTCGTTTACCAGGTCACCACCACCGTGTCCCACTTTAGCTCGCAAGAAAAAAAAAAAAAAAAAACACTTTTCTTCCTCATCTCTGCATCTTTCTACTCATCGCTTCGTTCGCAGTGTGTACTTTCACCCCCTTCTCCTTCCTATTAATTATGTTAACTCTCTCTCTCTCTCTCTCCCTTTTTCAACTCGCTCTTTATACTTATGATTTAAAATGCGAAATATTAAAATTGCGCAACGTGATTGGCTATTTTATGCTTGCTCGCTTTGTGATGGGCGGTGGGCCAATCAGTTGGTTTTATTGTGTCAAACAATCCCAATCAAGTCAGTCATAGATCGGGCACCCTTTTTGGTTTGTATACTCTTGCTGATTGGAAAAACTGTTCCTTACTGTATGCGTAAAAAATGTACCCCTCGGCAAATAGGTACTTGAAGATATTAGCGCAGAAAAAGAGGAATCGTAGTGGTGGAAAGAAAAAGAAACCCACGACTGCCATCTTCGTGCACCTTTTTTTTTTTTTTTTTTTTTCTTTGCAGCAAAAATCGATGAGCTTACTTATACGTTGCGGATAATATTGTTTATACAAGCGTATCTGCATGGCATTGACTTTATCCAAGCCCCACGAAAGTATTGTTCGAGAAATATTTTTCGGGCTATACAGATGGGTGGAGAAAGAGAGGGAGGAGAAAATGATCACAGTATGCAGAGTTTATACAGTGAATAAGAAAGATATAGCTACATGTGTGTATCAGGTGTCTGCAGCACATGGATGTCTCGTACGTATAATTAAAACAAAAAGTGCTAGATAATTAATAATGAAGAAAGCCTCGTCAAAATTGTATTATTACTGTTCCTCTCCCTCTCTCTGTGTGAGGGGTTTGCATGATGTTTATACACGCGTACAGTCCTGCATCCCAAGTGGAGATGAGATAGTTTACTGGTGCAGGCAGATTGTATAGAGAGAGAACGGTACTCGTTACGGAGAAAGTCTCAGAGCAGAGGAAGAAACGTGTCTCTCGATTACCCCCTCTTTTTCCTCCTCCCACTGCTCGTGTGTGTAAGTATGCATGTATAAAAAACTTACATGCTTATCGGTCTCGTTTTCGTGCGAGCTTTCTCCTCCTCTCTTATATTTTTCTCAGCTTCCCATTTCTCCTTGTTCTCATTATCGCCGTCGTCGTTGTCGTCGTCTATGTTGGGCTTAAGCAAAGATCATTAAAGAATTTTTCATTACCAAAACAAGGTGTTGGTCATATTTTTCCCGTGAGTTTGGTTTTTCCCAGCCGGTCTACGAAATTCCCAATTCCGTACATTGGTTTCGATGCATTTTATTTTTACATCAATTACCACTCCTTACGAGAAGGAAGATCCGAAAGATGCGACCCTTTGCTCGTACGACACCAAATATTGTCAGTGTTATAATTACAACTATATTATTCGCCCCTGCAAGTGCCCTTTATTGGCTATTATATTGGATTTGGCTGCTGATTCAACACAGTTTTAATAAAGTGGCCTTTCCATAAATTATCTAATATTACACTTAACTGTGTGTTTCCATTCGTCGTAACTCAATCATCAAATCCGAGGAATAAAGAGTGTGACACCGCTTTCGCCACGTCTCCGAGTCGCACGCAATGCGCAATAATGTATACTTGTGGAAGTACAAAGTACTGTACAAGCAACAACGTTAGCTAACGAGTGTAATTGTAGGTGCTGTTTATTTCGCAGGTGTTTAATATATGTTTGTGTCAGTCCTGAAGAATCACCAATTAACCGTTGGAAAGAAATCGTGTTTTAAAATGGGAAGAGTCGATGTAGACCGAGTTTGCCAGAGCTGGTCGAATTGAATAACCTTAATTTTGATGATTAAAACTTATTACAAATAATTATTCATTTTGTTTTTCCAACATCAAAATAATTTTTATCTTAGATTTTCCAAGAGAAACCAAGCAGGTAGCAAATATTTGTAAATGTTTTCCTCCGAACTCTATGGTTTTTCAATAAAAAATTTTTAATGCTTGAAAATACATTATTTTTCGAGAATTGAGAACCAAATGAGAAAAGAAAAAGCCATGTGGAATATCAACGGATACAAAGAATTTTACACATTTCTCATGATTAAATGTCAATTCTTGGACCAACTCGCGTTTTAATGTGATTGCTTAAAATAGCTTTTTTTTTGTCTTCCATTAGTGGGTGACTGGTAACCAATGTACCTCACAGGGGTCAAATAGTTGTGTTTGATTTTATACTCACACATGTAAGTGAGCGATCAGAGCCCGTACCATCGTAAGCAGAACCGAGCGGCGCCGATCGACATCAACATCTAATTGAACACACCTAATGCGTCAGGTGTAAGTGATTGCGGGAGAGTAAGATGATAGATACCATGCCTTTCTCAGCACATGTGGCATTGCTCTAAATT